CTTATTTAATAAGATGGTTGGCTACATCTACAATTAACAAATGGGACCTCCTGAAACTGAGAAGCTTCTGTAAGGCAGAGGACACAGTAAATAAGACAAATGGCACCCTACAGGATGGGAATAGGTCTTCACCAATCCTACATCTGACATAGGGCTGATCTCTAAAATATATAAAGAATTTAAAAAACTAGACATCAAAATAATGAACAAGCCAATTAAAAAATGGGCTACAGAGCTAAACAGAGAATTCTCAACAGAAGAATCTCAAGTGGCTGAAAGACATTTAAGGAATTGCTCAACATCCTTAGTCATCAGAGAAATGCAAATCAAAATGACTCTGAGATACCATCTTATACCTGTCAGAATGGCTAAGATTAAAAACACTGAAAACAGCTTATGTTGGATAGGATTTGGAGCAAGGGGAAAGCTCCTCCACTGTTGGTGGGAGTACAAACTTGTACAGTCATTTTGGAAATCAATATGGCGTTTTCTTAGAAAATTGGGAATCAACCTCCCTCAAGACCCAGCTATACCTCTCTTGGGCATATACCCAAGGAATGTTCAATCATAACACAAGGACACATGCTCAACTATGTTCATTATTTGTAATAGCCAGAACCTGGAAACAACCTAGATGCCCCTCAAACAAAGAATGGATTAAGAAAATATGGTATATATGCACAATGGAGTACTACCAAGCAGTGAAAAACAATGACATCATGAAATATGCAGGCAAATAGATGGAACTGGAAAATATCAACCTGAGTGAGGTAACCCAGACTCAGAAGGATAAACATGGTTACTCATAAGTAGATACTAGATGTAAAGCAAAGGATAACCAGACTACAACCCATACCTCCAGGAGAGCTAGCTAGCAAGGAGACCCAAAGAGAGATGCATGGATTGCCCTGGGAAGGGGAAATAGAGGAGATCTCCATGAGTAAACTGGGCATGAGAGGTGGGCAATAGGGGGTAGGGGTGGGGCATGAGAACATAAGGGAATGGGATGTTCAAGCTGGAACAGGGAAGGAGTGGGAGAGCAATGAAAGAGATACTATGATAGAGGGAGACATCAAGGAGATAGGGAAAAACTGGGGACTAGAGAAGTTCCCAGGAATCCCCAAGAATGACCCCAGCTTAGACTACTAGCAATGGTGGAGAGGGTGCCTATACTAGCTTACCCCAGTAATCAGAACAATGAATACCTGAACTGTCATCATAGAGCCTTTCTCCAGTAACTGGTGGAAGCAGATGCAGAGATCCACAGCCAATCACTAGGCTGAGCTCCAGGAGTCCAGTCAAAGAGACAGAAGAGAGATTATATGAGCAAGGGCATCAAGATTATGACGGGGAAACCTACAGAGACAACCAAAACAAATTAGTGGGAACTCATGAAATTTAGATCAATAACTGTGGAGCCTGCATGGCACTGGACTAGGCCCTCTGCATAGTAGGACAGTTGTGTAGCTTGATCTGCTTAAGGTCCCCCTTTCAGTAGGCTCAGAATCCATCCCTGGTGCATGAGCAGGCTCTTTGTAGTCCACTATCTATGATGGGACACCTCACACAACCTTGAGTCAGGGGGAGCGCCTTGGACCTACTTCTACTCAATGTACCTCCCCATGGGAGGCCTTGCCTTCTGGTAGGAGGGAATGGGGGTTACGTTGGTGGGGTGGCTGGAGGGTTGGGGGGAAGAAAGAGGGGGATCTTTGATTGGTATGTAAAATGAATAAAAATTTTTCTTAATAAAAAAAGAAAATAAATAAGGCACTGAAATTTGAGAAAGTTGACTTCTTGACCCTGTATTTCATCTAATTCATCCATTCATTGTACAAATATTTTAAAAGAATTATTATTTTATTTTTTAATTTTGAAAGTTTTTAAAATAATCTTGATGATAACCCAGTATGCCTCTCTTCTTGTGAGTCCACAGAATGAAGGTTGAAGAGCAGTCATTTCAATTCTGTTTCAGTCACTTAAGAAGACGATGGGCTGTGACACTGCCAAACTGAACAGGCCCTGCAACGTCAAGTTATGTCAGGGATGGGTCCTTCAATGAATCTGTAATGGCTCTACCAGGCTAAGATTATTGTAACGATGACCAAGTTGCCTCCAGTTGGAGCCTAGTTGCACTTTTCACCGAGTAACTCAACCAGCCAATGCAGGAGCTGCTCTTTGTGGTAAGTCACTTCCTGGCACAGTTTATAGTGATTCTCAACTCCAGTTCTTCATGCTTCTCTGGATGTATATTCAGTGACTCGTGATGATGGCAGGATGCCACTTTATGATTAGACCGCAGATTGTAAAGGCTATGACTTCCAACCCAGTGACTCATTTTTGTTGTGTCATTGCTTATGTTTTTGAACTGAGCTGTCATGTAGTGCATAGCCCTTTGGACAGATAGACAGATGAAACAACCTATTCCAGCAGCCTGCAAGGAGATGAGCCCTCCCAGTAAAGCCAACAGAAAATCCACTCCAGCTGTCAGAAAGAGGTTTGCCACATCAATAATTATAATAGGTACATTGGTATTATAAACTCTAAGAGCATCTGGAACTTGTGACATTTAAGTAAGGGATACTCTACTACATAGAATATGTTCTTCACAAACATTGATTGAGATGACCCCATCATATAAACCACAGGAATCTGGTACCTCATCAATCAGTAAAAGGCTTTCCATAGTCATGTGACCTAAAGAAGTGAGGTCAGTTAAACAGATTGAAGAAAAACTGAAGTTCATTGTCCCCTGTTGAAAACCCACTCATTAGTGGCTTGTATTATTAGGATTCCAAAGTAAATTTCTAGATCTCTTAATTGTGATTTGACTATGGCTTAGTGGTCTGTCTATACAGATAGCCTGACTCTATTCAATCCTTAATTTTGTTTTTTCAGGTGCCAATCCCACTAACAATAATAATTAAACTAAGAAACAGGAAAAATTGTCATAGCTCAAGGGTGCAGAGAGCTTTTCTTTCCAGATGTATCTGCAGATATTCAAAACATCCTCTTCTTAATTCTATAAGGAATCAAACACCCAGACAAGGAGCAGACATCTTTGCCACAAATGGAAAGTGTTACTAATTCTTACTATTTAATTCTGTTTGTTCCTTTTTCTGGGAAAAAAATGTCATATTTATTGTAAATAAGTGAGAATTTTAGAAATTACTGTGTAAATGGCCTAATAAGTGAAGAAACTTGGTGAATCAATGGAAAAAAAAAAAAAAAAGAATCTCCTCACAGTATTGAATGCACTACACTATCACACCCTAGCAGCTTTAAAGCTCTGATTTAGTGCATTTGACAAGCAAAACTGATATAGTAAGATATGGAAATCATTGTTGCAACTCATCCTTCATTATTTTTTGTAGATGAAAACAAAGTGTGTATCAACCCAGAAAATACTCTATGCCTCAATTGTCACTTGGAATAAACAGTTAAATTTCACTAACATACGTTTCAATACATTATATAGCTTACTTAGCATGGCAAGCACATTCATTTCTCATGCTCTGTTCTCCAGTGTAGACAAGCTGCTGAAATTTCTACATTAAACAGTGTGTAGGCGTTGGTGGATTCAAAGATAGGCAGGGATTCTGTGTTTATTAATACCAAAGTACCTTCTCATTGTCTGTCTCCTTCTGAACAAATTTTGTCTGCCATTCATAAAGCTGTATGCAATAACTATGCACTAATGGATATAGTTACTACACAAGGCAACATTTGACTCTTTTCTGAGGAATATAGTTTTGTTTTATGTAAATTCTCTGAGGCAGACATGACCCTGCTTTACCGATGAAGACTGTGACAAAGCAGATGCCATTTGATGAAGGGTCTAAGACTTGAACCCAAGTCCCTCTGAACCTTTGAGTCCATATTTCTGCCCCTTTGTGTTTGATGACATACACGTGTTACTAATTGTCTTCCACACTGTAAATTTCCTAGTCCCAGACTTAGAGGCACAAATGGAGCAAGCCAGCCTGGTGAAGATCTTGGATAATCCCTCAGTAAAATGCAACTTTACCCTCCCCTTTCCATGTCTTCATGCTGAAAATTGTATAACCAGCAGACAGTTTTGAAACTGTTAAACTACAAGAGTGGCAGGAAATGATGTTTATTAACAAAGCATGAATTCAGGAGAAGCAAGCAACACAGACCAAATGAGCACCATCCTGTAATAGATGATTAGAGTCTTTCTTTCTTCAGCCCTCTAAAAGTCTGAATCCAAAAGGAATTGAGTACAGTGAGCACAAAGAGATATAAGGCGTGGGTCCTAATCTGCTAACTCACGACTCCCATACAGTGACATCTTTGTTGTGCATGGGCACAGGGGCTGAGGCTGTGTACGTGCATAGAAGACAGGTGTGGGTGAGAACACAATTTTCCCAGGCATTGAAGCTCTCCAGCTGCATCCATCTAAGCTCTTCCCACATGAAACCTCAGCAAAGCACAGAATTAAAAGAAATATTCTTTGAAAGAAGATAGTGAATTATATCAGAAGTTGTGAATTAAGGCACTGTGTAACAAAGCCAAAAACAGCACTACACAGAGTTTGGTGTAGATTAGGAAAAAAATGAAGATTTGATTACACCTTCTGTTTTCTTTCAACCATCACTCATGGATTTCTTCATGTCAATTGCTTTTTTTTCAGTTGTTCCTGGCAGTTGATTTGAATTAAATATTACTAATTCCGACAGACAGGCATAGTAAACTATTGCTCTAATGTGTTCTTTATACTCATACTTTTATTTTCCTTAAAATGTGGCAAGTGTTAAATTGAAAAAAAAAAGTAAAGGAACAAAAAGAAAGAAAGTATTAGGTAACATTCACTTTTTCTTAGGTAACATTAAAAATATTTTCCAGTTGTCAGGATAAAGATTCCCAATGTCTACTATTACTGAGGACACTAAATGCAAGAGAAAACCTCAATGAAAACAAGTAAAATGCATCCCATGTATATGCTGAAAACTTTTTAGCTTATTTTACATGATCACATTGAAAACACTATAGGAGATATACTGTCTTAAGAAATTTTATGTGTCTAATTTAATATTTTAAAACCAACACATGTGTATTGTATGCTTACTTTGTGTTATGTCAATATCTTTATGTGCTGGGGGCAGGTGGGAGAATTTATATGTTCTTAAAGCTGATAACCTACTGTGTGTGAACAGATATAAACATGCATATAAATACTTGATAACTTAAAATATCAAGAATAATACAGTTTTTAATATTGAATGTGCTATTACAAAACATTATAGTGGGAAAAATTATTTCAGTTTGAATTCTTAAGAAAAATGCTATTGAATTATAACTTGCAATCTTCAAAGGTTATTGCTTTTTCATATTAAGTCTAAATAAATGCTATAGAATATTTTCCTTGCAGAAACTTTTTAGCTATAGTTTTCCTGGCCCTGCCTGGCCCACGGTCAGGACAAATCTCTCTCACCCACCTGTCCTGTAGCCGCTGAGACCCAACCAAGTAAACACACAGAGCCTTTTATTTCTTATAAACTGTGTGGCCATGACAGGCGTCTCGTTAACTGTTTTTATAACTTAAATCAACCATTTCTATTAATCTATAAGTTGCCATGTGGCTCGTCGCTTACTGGTATCTTAAAATCTGCTTCTCATCCTGGCAGCTGGCAGCATCTCTCTGACTCAGCCTTCCACTTCCCAGAATTATTCTCTCTGCTTGTCCCGCCTATACTTCCTGCCTGGCTACTGGCCAATCAGGGGTTTATTTATTAACCAATCAAAGCAACACATTTAACATACAGAACATTCCCACAACAAAACTTAGAAGAACAAAGTTTGGCTACCAAGTATCCTAACTCTTGAGGTCATGGTATTGAAGCAAACTTCTTCATTTTAGCCCCTTTCCACCACTTAACAGCAACTTGGGCTGGCAGTTAACTCTATAACATAGGTACTTCTGTGGAATGATTATTCAAGTTAAAATAGCATGTTGTTACATAAAATTACATTTTATCCATGTTGTAGGTAGAGAAAGAATTTGTTTCTGTACCTTATGAAGTACAAAGTGGCAGAGATTATAAGGACCAAAACAGAAAAAATAAATTAAAAGCAAAAAAGCAACAATAAACCTAACTGTGTAGTAAGACAGTGGGGTATCCAAAAAGAAGCCTGGGATGTAGACAGAAGAAATCAAGCAGGCTATCAGTGAGTTGTGTAGAATGGGGACAAGGTTGCTACAGAATATAGGCTCTTAATCAAAAACTTCACTTTTTTAGATAGACAAGCAGAATAAAAGTGTAAGACAGTATAATAGTGCAGACAGTCTGATTCTATGGTTTAGCTCCTAGAATTCTGACTTTAAGAGAATTCTGAATTCTGATTCTTCTACTTCTCAGCATTACATATTGCTTAAAGATGTCCTTGACTGTGCTCGCCTCCAAAACACTGAGTTAAGAAAGTAAGGACTGTGGTAAGAATAGAGATAGGCCATGGAGCTATTTCCATGATTTAATGAGACAGTTTGTGGAAGGCTCTTAGAACAGTAACTAGTGCATAGGGATACGTTATTCCATTCAAGGACATTGGCTAAGTTCGAGAGCATAGCAGATTTAGAATGTTTGATGAAGGTGTATTGAAGTTAAACACTAAGTCTTGAACTTTTGAAACAGAATAGAGCTAGATTGTTCTTGAAGCAAGCATCTTCTCAGGCTTGGAAAAAGAAAGAAAAACCATAGAATTGTTACCACAATCCCCAAAATACTTCTGATATGAAGTAAGGAAACAAATGTGGTCATAGCATTGGGATCTCCAGGTGTAATAGATTATTTATCATTTGTTTATGGCCTTTAGGTGGTAGTAGCAGAATCGTGATATTTTTAAGCAGGAAGATTTTTTAACTGCTTTGTAATCCAGGAAATGAGATTCAGGGTTTATCCTTACTGTGGTATATTGTCTACTTATTGCCATTCATGTCAATTCAGGTCCTTCACAAGACAGTCTGACAGTTCTCTTACAAAATAATGGCAGTTACACTGTAGCACACATCTAGAAGTTAGGCTTTTTGACTTCTTATCTTATTAGTATTATCTTTTTAACTGGAGTACAGAATTGGCTAGGTATTCTGAAGATGTAATGACAACTATTCATTAATTTCTATCATTTATTCTTCAATGCTTGATTTTATATGTAAACCTCAATA